TTTCCTTTCCTTTCGCTTTGTATATAAGTTTTGATTTCGGCTCGAGCGATTCGCTCTTAAATCTCTTCGGCATCTTTGTCTAAATATTGGTCCTGGTATGATGTCTCATTCTGTCTCGATCTTCCCTCTTACATGTATGGGATGGAATAATATGTTTGTCATTTTTGCATAGTTATCATCATTGCTTGTCACTTTGATCCGCTGATTGTTCTTATGATTGTTGTGATGTGACGAACCACTTTCTGTAGCGCGTGACTTTCTGCACGATTGCAATGAGGGGTCCTAAGCTGGGAAGGTAGGGCCAATTACGAGAGATTGGAATGGACGAGAAATCGCATCAGTACCCTCGCTTCTTCGTCTTTTGCGTCGATTCTTTTTGGATGGCTAAATATTGACATCATTTCCTTTTGGTTCGGTTTCAGAACTTTTTGGGCGCGGACATCGCGCGGGAATTTGCTTCGTTCTTTTTGAATTTTCTTTTTGAATTCTTTTTCGAATTTTGTCGAGCCCCGATGACTCTCGGAATTTCAGACTTTCCTTCCGGAGCCTGTACTTTTGCTTTTTCGCATTAGTTAGGAATTTAGGAATTTTGTAATTATAACTTTTTTTTGCCGCGCGACGCTTTTTTGCTTATACGCTTCTTTATGCGGCTGCAACGTAATTCTGATTAGTTGGCGCCTTTAATCGGGTGTGTAAATGTAATTTTGGGTTGGCGTCATTGTAACTGTATCTTTCTTCTTGCACTTCGTCTTTCCCGCCCTCCTTCTTTTTCTTTTGCTGCGTTTTTGTAGCCACGGTCTGCATGCTCGGATCGATGCGTGGAGAGTGGCTACGTCCCCCACGCCGCAGCCCGGTCATGCAGAACGCAGACGCTCCTTCTCTAATCCTCTTTCCCAAATCCTTGTAATTCCTTGTTCTTCGCGCAAGCATGCACGCTATAAATTTCGGCTGCGCGATTAGTTAGCTCTCTTAACCAGTTGTTGGAAGCTCGGGGTTGCGCGATCAGAGAGGGTCGGCACACGAGCGAAGTAAGAGGTGAGTAGAGCAGGAGTCGGGCGACCCGACGAGCTGGTGCCAAACGTGCGGGGTTGACGCGGGCCACGACGGACTGTGGGCGGGGGCGAACCTGTCGGGTGCGGGAGGACTAAGCGGGGTGACGACTTCGCGGGTTGGTGCGCGACGACGGACTATCCGCATCGGAGAGAGAGAGAGAGAGAGAGAGGAAGAGGGAGCTGAGGTTGATGGACGAGGATTTGTTGTTTCTTTTATCTTTTCTTCCTCCTGTCTCGTGTATATAATTTTTGATTTCGGCTTCGCGCGATCCGCCTGTTCTCTGTTTTTCGGAATCTGGACTTGGGTTTTTGCTCACACTTATCTTCGCGATTTCATATCAGATGCATTGTGGGTGTATGTTGCTGAATGAATGGATGTATGGATGCCATGTTTGGTTGCTTGTCTTGCTACTGGATCCTTGCCTTTGCCTTTGTTTGTTGCCTTTGATGCACTCATGAGTACGAATTTTGTGCAATCGGTAATCCCGTTCTCGTTTTTGCTCATCTTTTGATTGGACGGTCGTGTCTATTGCATATTGCATATTCGAAAATTACGGAGTGATTAGATAGTCGGATGTCTAGCCCAGCGAACGCCGCGCGAGGACGCGTGTAAACGCGACTTGATCTGCGCATTTACACGTGCCCCCGTGTGTCGATTCGTCAATACAAGTGGCAAAAATACTGTCTGATTGGATACGGCCATCCAGGGCCTGCGACGGAGCAATCATCCCGGGCGAACACATGTAAGCGCGACTTGATTCACACCGGCCTGCACGTGCTCACACGCGGTGATCGCAATCGGCACAGACCTGCCCTTAGGCGTCTTAGCTCTGCGATGACATAATGACACGCTCAGAGCGCTCGGAGTCGTTGTTGTACGACCCGGATTATTTCACCTCGTGGATAGCGGAAAGCCTCCGGCAGAGATACCCTTGCCTAACAGAAAATCGACTGTGTCGTAGGGAGTTTCATTGCGCCACCACCAGCGACCCTCGGTGCTCTAATTTCCCCACTCAGGACCACACCCACTACTTCACCCAACCCGGATTTGTCGTTATCTCCACCAGTTTTCCTCCCTCTCGGCTTCTTCTTCCGTATCACCAACTCCTCGTCATCCCGTGGAAGGCCATAGCCCCCTACTGGCCCAGCAGGCCTTGCGGAAATTGCCGACGGCGCGGCGATCAGCGGGCCCCCGAATCCCGAAGGCCTAATCCGAATGCGCGACGTCCGACGCCACGTGGCAACTTCCGACGGCCAGACTCATCGGAACCCCACCCACCCCGAAGGGACTTTCCGGCGAACCGCCATCCTCGGAACCAATGGCTCGCCCGACCTTGAGTGACCCGCGCATACCATCTGCCTTATGATCAGAGGTGGTCCGCCCTCTCTGCCAAATTGCACTCGTGCCCCCGAAAGACTCTGCCACAGGAGATCTCAGTTCTGACCTGGGACTCCACCCCCACTTTCCCAAAAATCCTTGGCACACCCCTTTTTCGCACTTCCAGGCCCACACCCAACTTCGATCAGGAAGTTGCGTTGGGCGTGAGGTTGGTATCGGAGCCCGACACGTGGCTGGGTCTTAGGATCAATAGCACGCTAATTGGGCGACATGCCTAACCGAGGGCGGGCTCCACCCCGGAACGCGCATAGATGCGACCCCGTCATCACCCGAAGCAGATCGACTAATCGACGGGCAGCCAACATGAATGCTAATGTACAGAACCCGAATCCGCAAGAGAATGCTAATCAGCCAAATCCTAATCAACCCGCCCCACGAGCACGGGCTCCCATAACGCCACCTGATCTTTATCTATTCGACCCAGCACATCATCTCGCAGGAGCATGGTTGGCCACGCTCCGAGCACAGCAGTATAATGATAACAAAGCTCAGGGAAACATTTCTGCTCAATTAGGAGGAGACGCTCATCATTGGTTTAGAACCTATGTATGGGTTGATGGAGGAGACGCTCATCATTGGTTTAGAACCTATGTATGGGTTGATCTCCTGACCTTCGAATGGGATTTTCTGAATCGATTTGATTATGTCCATCCAGCACAAGCACTTTACATGATCAAGGACTCAGTGCAAAAACCTCTCGAGTCTGTCGCAGAATACCGAAACCGGTTCTACCGAATGTTTGTGAAGACTGAGCGAGGCGAGCAAGTCGGGAGAGATTTGTTTATTGATGGGCTTCGCAGCCGAACGATAAGGGCGAAGCTGCGAAAGCAATTTTCCCCCATCAATCACACGCTGCAACAGATCATGGCCGCTGCAGAAGAGATGGAACGGAAGTTCACGGCGAACTTCCTGGAAGGAGAAGACTATTCTAGGGAAGAAGATTCGTCTGAACTTGCAAGGGCGAGAGCTGAGCTGGCCGCATTGCAGAACAAGTTCGAAAATATGGGATTTGTGTCTTGCTCAGTCACCTATCTAGAACAGGTGGGCCCTAATCGACCGACCTCAAGTGAGATCCCGAGTGTCCATGTTCCTGTGATGCCAACATCTGTAAGAACGGCACCCCCTCCACCAATTGAGAATCCTGTAAGAACCAATGAATCTATTGCCATCTTCGAACTAACCAAAATGTTAATTAGCCTAATCCAGGAGAGCAAAAAGGAACAGCGAGAGCACGACGCTCGGTTAGAAGCCATGATGAGAAACATGCGGCCCATCGCCGTGCGTGCCCCTCCGATTCAACAAGGATTGGCCCAGGTGCTTGTTCTCGGAGGAGCCGCAAGCAATCTGGATGTCTATTATGCATGCCATCAGCCAGGGCATCTAGCCCGTGATTGCCCCCACCAACCCCCGCAACAACGGGTCGGAGTTGCACCAATGGCCGCAACTCCTATCACTAACGGACCTGGACGGGTAGGAGCTCTGATGGAAGAGATGGAAGGTGGGGGAAGTGCGTTGGCAACCACGGAAGAAGCCGCTGAGCTCATCCCATTAGATCAGTATATGTCGCTTGGATATCCTGGGCTTGGAATGATTGGAACGATCCGACCGGCGCCAGAACAGAAAGAAGTGGCGGAGTGGCGACCTTCTCCCAGAGAGATGGAGTCGGGAGGACCCACCTTCGTCACAGGGGAAATCGATGTGTTGAACATTATCCGAGCCCTTCCGATCGGCCATCTGCTCTCGATTTCCGAACAGGCTAATGAGCGGATGCTACAGCACTGCAAGAAAAAACGAAAACGATTCGCCCTCACCCGAACCACTAACGTAAAGGCTAAAAGTCCCATGCCCGAGGACAACACTGCTGGCACGACGGATCCAATACGGGTAGGATTAATACAAAAAGACGACCATTTCCTACGGATTAAACCCATCAAGTGGAAATCTGCAGAATGCGATATTGAAATATGGGGAATTTCGTACAATGCAATCATTGATCCGGGAGCTGTTGTTTTGGCTATCTCACTGAGAGTAGTTGAGAGGGCAGGTAGGAAAAACGACCTGATCATGCTTATGGAGAAGGACCAGCTCGTTTCGGCAGACGACGAGAAGATTAAAACAGTGGGACGGATGACCAACGTCACTTTCCGATTGGGAAAGGTGCATGCACTAGGAGATGTCGTGGTATTAGATGTAAACACCTACGATGTTCTTTTCGGTTTTCACGCTCTTGTGGCATTACGAGCGAACCTGGATTTCGAGCGACGGTCAATCATCCTCCGAAATACGGGAGGAAATCCCTATGTTGTACCTATGAGACTGACCCTTCGTACTACCATCAACGCAATCCCGCGAGTTTCGCCGATGTTACCTGAGACTCTTCATATGATTACCTGGGAAGACTCCGCAGACGATAAGCCCTCATCGAGGGATGCAGATAGCAGTGACGAAAGTTATCCAGAAATCCTGAAGCTAGCACGACAGCGTATTTGTTACCCGCCGCCCAAAACTATCGCAAGAATGATGCATCTAACCAGTCGGAACATCCAAAGGACCAAGGTGATGATTTTGGGTGAACCCCTCGTACAAATTTCGAGGATGGTTGATTCCTTGGAACCCCTTCAGACCCTGTACGAAGGAATCTCCCCACTCCTCGCCCGATATAACGACAAAAAGCACTAGTGCGACATCACGGATCTACCAAAGTCCCTGCTGACACCTGCAAAAGAAGTACGATTGCTACGCTTGGGGGCGGAAGCCAGTCCTTTGGAACCCCCTGGGCGTCTTAAGGGTGAATCAAATGAACTCGGAGTAAAGATTGCAACTAAAACCGTACCGTGGCAGGATATCTGCGATGGAATTACCCCGGAAGGACACGTGGCCATCCGGGAGGAAGACGCCCAGATGATGGCCACGGTCTTCTCCTGGCGATCGGACCATTCGTTCATCTCTGCGCCACCACCCGATGTGGCGAAACAGGCACGCACGAAGCAGATCGACGTACGGATCTGGGACCAACTATTTGAGTTACACATCCCACAGTACGTACCTGACGAAATTCACCGGGTGATTGCGGATATTTTGACGGAATATCAGGGAGCGATTAGCGTAACCGATACTGACATTGGCTTGTCGTTGGTTATTCAACACGAAATTCAGACGGGAAATCATTCCCCAATCCACTGCAAGCCCTACCGATACTCCCTGATAGAACGAAAAAAGGCTCTCGAACGAATACGGGAGTTCGAAGCAAGCGGGTGGATTGAACCCGCCACCGGACCATGGTCATTTTCAGTAGTGTTAGTACCGAAGAAGAACAGATCGATTTGCATATGCATCGATTATCGCAAACTGAATGAAATCACGATTAAAGATGTGTATCCCCTCCCCCAGATTGATGATTTGCTGGATGCGATTGGATGCGCTAATTATTTCAGTAAGTTTGATATTCGGCATGACTTCCATCACATTCTGGTTAAGGAGGAAGATTGGCTAAAGACGGCCTTCGTGTTGTTTGAAGGCACGTGGCAATGGGTTTGGTGTCCGATGGGGATTTGCAACGCGCCTGCCACGTTTCAGCGAGCGATGAACATGACATTCCAGAACTTCGTCAACAAGACGCAGCTAACTCAGGGAATGATCAACTTCTGCGTGATCGTATACATGGATGATATCCTTGTCTACTCGGAGACCTATCACGGGCATGCACAACACATTGAGTGGACGTTGGGAGCGCTGAGGGACGCTGGGTTCAAGATCGCACTCGAAAAGAGCGAATTTTTCCTTTCGGAAATTTCGTTCTTGGGCTACGTCGTGACACGTGGAGGATTGCGGCCTGACTCGAGAAAAGTCGCGGCGGTGAGAGAAGCCCCGGTTCCCACGTCACTGACGCAGGTTCGAGCCTTCTTGGAGTTGGCCTCGTACTACCGCCGTTTCATCAAAGGCTTCGCCGCGATTGCGCGGCCGCTAACGAACCTGTTACGAAAGGACCAACCTCTCAGTTGGGACGCAGAGTGTGAGCAGGCCTTTGCGACCCTCAAAGATGCTTTGGCGACGACACCTATTTTGATCCGACCGGACCCCTCGAAACACTTCATTCTTATCACGGACTGGCAACCGGAAGCTATTTCCGCTATTCTAGCGCAGAAAGGGAACGATGGTCGCGAACATGTCATCGAGTACGGGTCGCGAACGGTGCCAGACGAACGGAGGAATGACTCAGCACCCCAAGGCGAATGCTATGCAGTACTCTGGGGAATCCAACACTTCCATCTGTATCTCTATGGGCAGAAGTTCCGCCTTGTGACGGATCACGAGCCTTTGCTGGCTTTGAAGAAACTCACTAATTACACGGGCATGATTGGACGTTGGGCGGTACGACTACAAAAGTACGACTTCGACATCATCCACCGGAAGACAGAAAGGCATGGCAAAGCGGACGGACTGACACATCTGCTTCGGCCTGCCAAAGTACCAAAGGGCGAGGAAATCACTCCATGGAAGGAGTCGGAACCAACAAACGGGCCTAAGTACGGACAAGTGGCAGTTCTCCCACATGGCAAGAAGCAGACCAGTGGCAATGGGTGACGGAGGTAACCTCACTACCCCTCTTTCTCCCATCTCCTCTTCGTCTATTCTCTCCCTTCCTGATAAATTTTTCTATTTTTGCGAAGCAATTTCTCGTGTATACTCCGTCTCCATGTGTCCTAACGGGGAAGGATATGCGGAATGGATAACTGCCGACAGTGTGTCGCATGAGCCCATGGCTCGTGCATCCAACACCGAAACGATAGTAAACCGTGGTTATGCCCTTTGTGTCGGGTTGACAAGATTCCGGTCGAGGCTCGCTTTCTGGATGCCACGTCAGAAGGGTTGGAAAAGACCCGGAAATTTCGAAGGGCCGAAGTATGGATCGACATCGCTTTGATTGTCACCTTAGTTGGTAACCCCCTCCAGGATTTCACCAAGGAAGATCGGAGGAGGGCTAACGAAAGGGCTCGGGATTATCGATGGATAGAAGGTAGGTTGGAAAAATGGAAAACGAACGGTAGTGGGATTTAGATGGTTGTACCGCATCCGTTCATGAGGTACGACTGGGTAAAGACGGCACATGAGGAAACGACAACCCATTTTGCCGTACGGATTACAGAGTCAGCAATCGACAAAAATGAGTGGTATTGGTCCAATATTCGGGACAATGTGAAATTTGTCGTCGCAAACTGTCAAGTCTGCGCTGCTGACAAGGTGCCGATCCAGCCGTCGAGATCGATAGTTTCAACGGTAGTTGAGCGGCCGTTCCAGAGGGTGAGTATGGATACCACCGATATTGTGGTAACTCCTGGTCCTAATAGCTGTGAGTATTCAGTCCTATCGGTATTTGTCGATTATTTTTCGAAATGGATCGAGGCCTACTCGTGTCGCACGCGACAAGCCGCCGAAATCGCGCGGTATGTTAACCGTTTTCTCGGGATGCACCAGGATACGGAAGAAATCCTGACCGATAATGGGGAAGAATTCAGAGGGGAAGTATTGAGGAACCTGGTCATACACGGTGTCGCTGTGCGGAACACCGCGCCCCATATGTCACAATCCAATGGGCTGGTAGAAAACGCCAACAGGGTGATAAAGACAGCGCTGCGACGAAACATCACGGCACAGAATCCGAGGCCCTGACCCAATATCGTCGACCACATCCTAGCGGTCCATCGCGGAACGCCCCATGAATCGACGGGTCTGAGCCCCTTCCAATTAAGGACTAATAGCGTCGCTTGCGTTTCGATACCAAGCCTCCCCGACGTATCAACGCTTAACCGCCGGTCCACAAGGGCCACAGCGAGAGACAAGGTCAAGCGGCACCTAGAGTTAATGGAACGGTCCCTCCCCAGGCTAGCCCGAAAACGCCAGAAAATGACCGAGTTGGCCCATGGCTGACAGGTTCGAAGCTACGAGGCCCGGAACGGGAACGCAGGTCCACGGCCCCAGTACAAATTGGGGGACATCGTGCAGGTGAGGAAATGTGCTCGCCAGGGCAAGCTAGCGCCACGATTCTTCGGGCGATTCCGCGTGATTGAGCTTGGACCGAACGGCGTGAACACCGTGCGGCTTGCGCCTAAGGTCTCCGGCAGCCGATCGGCTCGTCCGATCATTCGCCACGTGTCCTACCTTCGTCCCCTCCCTCCTTTCCATTCTTCACCTTCATCTGACTCCTCCTCCGCTGCGGAAGAGGACGGCGACTGCTTATCACCTGTCTCTCCGTCTCCTTTTCGTTCTCTTTCTACTACTTCGTCTCCATCGCCATCGCCATGAGTTTTTTTACGGAGCGAGCTCTCGGCGATCCTCTACTGGTGCCACGGTGTTACATCTCGGCGATTCGACAAGTTCATCACCCGCGGCTCAATCTGGATCTTCGGCGACTTGCGCAATTCTTCTGTACCCAGGGAGTGTACGCAGCCGCTGAGTTTCGTTTTGCGGGAAGTCCCCGAGTGGTTGTTTCAGCAGAGGCAGTAGGAGTCCATCGGCAATCGGCTCCTGGAATCAGCCACGTGTCTACGGTGGTCGCCTGCAGTGGCGACATCAACACCATCAGCCCACTGCGGCATACGACTATCAAGACGTCGCTTCGGCTCTGGGCGCAGCAATTGGCGGCGGAGTGGAATCGTTGGCTCACGCCCCACGGAGATAACCTTTTTCCCACGGATGGCGTCGACCTCGACGGGATCCGAACCTTCCAACACGAGCTGGCGGTGGTGCTCCCGGAACTCATCCTCTTTCCGCCAGATCACCACCAGTGGGCCGAGTACCTCGAGTTGCTTATCATCCAGGAGTGGCGAACGAAAGTGGAAGGCGATCTGCTCGGATTCCTCTTCGGATAAGTGAGGCCCGATCATCGCCAACTGATCGTACAAGAGTTAACAGTCCCCCTTGCGCAGCTGGCCGACGATCTCCCTCTTGAGATCGTCTCGCAGAGCGACGACAGCCCGGTCCCGCACGTTCTCACGCAGACCTTGGCGCCATATCTTCAGTGGTCGGCGTGCTTGGAGGAACCAGGGAGCGGCCGCAACCCACCATTACAGCGTGGTTATCTGGACCCGCACGAGATAGTCGACCTTGCCTTCTTCCAAGATCGGACAGCTTCCGAGAACGAGGAGGTAGAGATTGAAGTGGAAGAAGAAAGCTCGGAAGAAGAAGAAGAGGTCGAGGAAGAGGCCGACGAGGAAGAAACTCCCGAGGAAGGAAGTTACAATGAGCACAGCGAAGGGGAGCAAAGTGAAGCGGAGGAGGAAGAAGAGCAAGACGACGAAGAAGAAGAAGAAGACGAGGAGGAGCTAGGCTCGGGCGCAGGCCCAGGCACAGAAGAGGGAAGAGATCGTGGCCGGGAAGCGACAGTTGGAATTCGCCAACGCAGCCGGTCAGCCGCGCATCGACGATCCGGCCCGAGATCCGGAGCCACCCGAGCCCGAGGATGGAGAGACAGCTGCCGAGACTTCGGCCGCACCAGCGAGACGGCGATGAAGCCGATCCCCCTCCCCCTCCGCCGCCGACCGCCCACCAACTCGTCCACGTACCGATGCGGGGCATCGGGCTTCATCCCCGATCGTTATCCCGCCGTCCCCTTGATCACCTCTCTTTCCGCCAGATCACCGCCCGTGTTACCTTCCCCGACAATCCTTTCCCCGACAATCCCTTCCCCATCGATACCTTCCACTTTTTCTACACCACCCGTCTTGCTGTCACTGTTCATCCCCACCCTTCCACCCGATGTGTCCTCCTTGTCTTCTGCCTCATATCCTTTTCCTTAGTGTCGCGTGGCGAGGCCACAATATGATCGAGGTATACTGCATGATTACGGGGACTATCCCCGCATGCGAGAACCACGATCACTTTCGAGCGGCCCTCTTCCGAACCTTCACCACCCTCTACCCCGACTACCTCGCGTCCCTCCCCCACACAGGTAAGCGATTCCCCCGCTTTCACCGGATCGTTCCCTATCAGGAACTTCCGGAGACGGTGGCCAGAATGGAGAGCTTCCTTCCCCCGCTACCCATCAATCCTCCCCCTCGCCACCCCTCCATGTACCGTCTCCCCTTTCCCCTCCCTGACGCTCGCTGATGTATGACAGATGGGCATGCGTCATGACAATGACACGTGTAATCCCCTCCTTGGATTGTTGATGGCCCTCCCCGAGGAATTAGTAGTACTAGAGCTGTGTTGCCATGATTGGAAAAAAGAGTTCCGTGTGTCGATCGATTAGAGAGATCGACACGTGTCAACAAGCAAGTAGGAGCTTGCTAATATTGGAACCCCCTGGGCGTCACATATGTGACGAACCACTTTCTGTAGCGCGCGACTTTCTGCGCGGTTGCAATGAGGGGTCCTAAGCTGGGAAGGTTGGGCCAATTACGGGAGATTGGGATGAACGGGGAACTGCATCAGTACCCTCGCTTCTTCGTCTTTTGCGTCGATTCTTTTTGGATGGTTGAGTTCGGAGTTGGGTGTGTCCCGGGACGGGTGATTGATTGGTCGGATGGCTGATGCGCCGCCAAGCGCGCGATTAATAAATATTGACGTCATTTCCTTTTGGTTTGGTTTCGGAACTTTTTGGGCGCGGACATCACGTGGGAATTGACGTCATTTTCTTTTTGAATTCTTTTTCGAATTTTGCCGAGCCCCGATGGCTCTCGAAATTTTGGACTTTCCTTCCGGAACCTGTACTTTTGCTTTTTCGCATTAGTTAGGAATTTAGGAATTTTGTAATTAGGACTTTCTTTTGCCGCGCGACGCCTTTTTGCTTGCGCGCTTCTTTATGCGGCTGCAACGAAATTCTGATTAGTCGGCGCCTTTAATCGGGTGTGTAACTGTAATTTTGGGCTGGCGCCATTGTAATTGTATCTTTCTTCTTGCGCTTCGTCTTTCCCGCCCTCCTTCTCTTTCTTTTGCTGCATTTTTGTAGCCACGGTCTACATGCTCAGATCGATGCGTGGAGAGTGGCTACGTCCCCCACGCCGCGGCCCGGTCATGCAGAACGCAGGCGCTCCCTCTTTAATCCTCTTTCCCAAATCCTTGTAATTCTACGTTCTTCGTGCAAGCATGCACACTATAAATTCCGGTTGCGCGATTAGTTAACTCTCTTAACCAACTGTTGGAAGCTCGGGGTTGCGCGATCAGAGAGGGTCGACACACGAGCGAAGTAAGAGGTGAGTAGAGCAGGAGTCGGGCGACCCGACGAGCTGGTGCCAAACGCGCGGGGTTGACGCGGGCCACGACGGACTGTGGGCGCGGGCGAACCTGCCAGGTGCGGGAGGACTAAGCGGGATGACGGCTTCGTGGGTTGGTGCGCGACGACGGACTGTCCGCATCGGAGAGAGAGAGAGAGAGGAAGAGGGAGCTGAGGTTGATGGACGCGGATTTGTTGTTTCTTTTATCTTTTCTCCCTCCTGTCTCGTGTATATAATTTTTGATTTCGGGTCAGGGCGATCCGCCCGTTCTCTATTTTTTGGAATCTGGACTTGGGTTTTTGCTCACACTTGTCTTCACGATTTCCATCTCAGATGCACTGTGGGTGTATGTTGCTGAATGAATGGATGTATGGATGCCATGTTTGGTTGCTTGTCTTTCTACCGGATCCTTGCCTTTACCTTTGTTTGTTGCCTTTGATGCACTCATGAGTACGAATTTTGTGCAATCGGTAATGCCGTTCTCGTTTTTGCTCATCTTTTGATTGGACGGTCGTGTCTATGGCATATTGCATACTCGAAAATTACGGAGTGATTAGGCAGTCGGATGTCTGGCCCAGCGAACGTCGCGCGAGGACGCATGTAAACGCGACTTGATCTGCGCATTTACACGTGCCCCCGTGTGTCGATTCGTCAATACAGGTTGCAGAAATACTGTCTGATTGGATACGGCCATCCAGGGCCTGCGACGGATCAATCATCCGGGGCGAACATGTGTAAGCGCGACTTGATTCGCACCGGCCTGCACGTGCTCACACGTGGTGATCGCAATTGACACAGACCCGCCCTTAGGCGTCTCGTTGCTCTGCGATGACATAATGACACGCTCAGAGAGGTCGGAGTCGTTGTTGTACGACCCGGACTATTTCACCTCGTGGATAGTGGAAAGCCTCCGGCAGAGATACCCTTGCCTAACAGAAAATCGACTGTGTCGTAGGGAGTTTCATTGCGCCACCACCAGCGACCCTCGGTCCTCTGATTTCCCCACTCAGGACCACACCCACTACTTCACCCACCCCGGATTTGTCGTTATCTCCACCAGTTTCCCTCCCTTCCGGCTTCTTCTTCCATATCACCAACTCCGCTTCATCCCGTGGAAGGCCATAGCCCCCTACTGGCCCAGCACGCCTTGCGGAAATTGCCGACGGCGCGGCGATCAACGGGCCCCCGAATCCCGAAGGCCTAATCCGAACGCGCGACGTCCAACGCCACGTGGCAACTTCCGACGGCCAGACTCATCGGAAGCCCACCCACCCCAACGGGACTTTCCGGCAAACCGCCACCCTCGGAACCAATGGCTCGCCCTACCTTGAGTGACCCGCGCATACCATCTGCCTTATGACTAGAGGTGGTCCGCCCTCTCCGCCAAATTGCACTCGTGCCCCGAAAGACTCTGCCACAGGAGATCTCAGTTCTGACCTGGGACTCCACCCCCACTTTCCCAAAAATCCTTGGCACATCCCTTTTTCGCACTTCTAGGCCCACACCCTACTCCGATCAGGAAGTTGCGCTGGGCGTGAGGTTGGGGCGTCACAGCAATGTCTGATGTATGATGACACCTTGCATACTCGGGAATGATTGCTGAGTGATTAGATGATTGGGTAGTATCCGGGACACGCGACGATTTTTGCATGAAACATGAAACTCTCACTTTGGTAGCCAATAGGCCCGGGTGCACGCGAACACCTCGCGTGGATACGCGTAAGCGCGATCTGAATTGCGCAACCTACACGTGTCCACGCACGGCGATCCACGTTCACTAACTATGCTGCAATGACAAAATGTCGGACACATGGGACCCAGAGTACTTCGAGCCCTGGGAAGAAGAGGAATATCGTAGGCGAAGATACCCAGAATTTCCCTGCCTAACCGAGAACCGATTGTGTCCCAGGGAGTTCCACTGTGCTGTAACCAGTGATCCAAGGTGCCCTGATTACTCCGTTACGTATAACACGCAATGCTTCATATCCCCCGGCTTCGTCGTTATCACTACCAATTTCCCTCCATTCCGTCTCCTCCTCCCGTATCACCAACTCACGGTGGTACCGTGGAATTCCATCGCCCCGTATTGGCCTCGCACGCCGTGCAGAAACTGCAGACGACGCAGCCACCGCCGAACCCCGGGAACTACGGAGACTAACCATAACACGTGGCGACCAACGCCACGTGTCTGCACCTGAAGGTCTGACTCACAGGAATCACAACCATCCCGGACGGGCCTCTCCCTGAACCGCCGCCATCAAAGCCGATGGATCGGACGACCCTGAACGCACCGCGCATGCCATCTGCCTTATGCTGCACGACATCGACCACCATCAGACCGGAAGTAACCCGCCCCTTAGCCCTATTGCATATATGCCCCTGAACCCTTGCCACAGGAGATCTCAGTTCCGACCTGGGACTCCACCCCCACTTTCCCCAAAAATCCTTGGCACACCCCTTGTCGCACTTCCAGGCTCACATCCCACTCCGATCAGGAAGTCGCGTCGGGCGTGAGGTTGGGCGTCACAGGGCCCCCAGAGGGGTAATATCTTTTTTTTTTTTTTTTTTTTTTTTTTCAGAGGGGTAATATCGATAGGCGACATATGGGATACAGGGAGGAATGGATCAGTTACAATGAGCTCAGAAGGAAACCGCCTAGACTTCACAATGTGGAAGGAAACTATGGCCTGTTGAAGATGGTCATTCCCTATTCGTGGATACTCCACCTTCGCACACCGGAATACCCAGCAGTGGACACTTGGTTCGAATCCAAGTCCCCGACTAACCCACTGGAGTTCTGGTGAGTATTGGGACCGCCATCCGAATGTGGTCTAAGGTACAGGTCTGGTGCCAAAAACACAATCGTACCAAGAAGGTTGGTGTCCTCAGATTCCAGGGGGAGGAAACGGTCACAATTAACGCAGAGCGAGGAAACGGTCACAATTAACGCAGCGCTGACAGAGGTCAAAGTCTGGGTAGCCAAGGATGCAAGAGGTAAAGAAGTTTGCACAGGACGACGGCTCGTACAAAGTGGATCCTCATCTCATCGGCTGGTCCAATATGGAAAAGGTTGGTGACTTCATTCCTATGGATCAGTACAGTACGAAGGTTGGTAGAGCTCTGCAGACCAAGAAAATCAAGAAGCCTCCGTTAAACACACTGCCTCCAAGAGATGTGACATTCAACTTCCAGGCACCACATCCGAGATCAAGCTTCTGAAATTATGGAAGCTGCCATGCCGGCTCCCCGACCAGAAGGCTACGAGCCCCCTGTGGCTACAGTCATTGCAAGTCATCCCATCCGCCGAGTAGCTCTCCTGAAAAGGCATGTTCCTGTCATTAGCATGTTGTCACTGTGAATGGGCTATGGCGACCACTGCCCCCACTCCATTCAGATCTGGCAGTGGTGGGGAAGGCATTGATTGGTTCAGCTTCGCTCCTACGGCTATTGACTGGTGACAGTTGGATACTCTCCGGTTGCAGTAACTCGCCTGGATCCCAGGAAACAGGCTGGCCCTACACTTGCCCAGGTCTGCAGAGGAGTCATACTGGGGGTCATTTTGGCACGTCAGGAACAAAAAGTTGTTCAAGGAAGGAAGCACGCACCTGGAACACTCTTTAAGGCTTTGATCAACTCTCAAGTCAGATGATCGATCATAGCGGACTGGCGAAGGAAAGACCCGCTCTGGGTTTTTTTTTTTTTTTACCTCTTTTTTTATATTAAAAAAAAAAAAATTGGACCATTTCTCGATTTATGCGTGTCATCCTTGCGCAGGGGCCATGCTAATCTTCTCTGTATCGTTCCAATTTTAACGGATGTCTGGTTCTCGAGGGCGTGGGCCGTCAACAGTCATCAACAGTCATTTGCCATCGGTCTCACCAGAAGGCAACTTGAGTATAAGTCACTCCCCCCCCCCTCCGAGCCCCCCCCCACACACACAACCCAATCCTCAGACAACTGCCTTTAAATGGCTCAACAAATAGCCACCAAGTATGACTCGTTCTGTAGTAGGTAGGAAGGTAGGACAGCTCGTTTGGATAAGATCCTCATGGTTTACTGTTCTCTTTTTTCCTTCTTGTCTTCTTCTTCAATACCCTAGCATGCCTTGCTAAGGGCACCAGCGTTCTCAGGGAGCCTTGGTTGAGGCTGCTCGAGAACCTGGTACGATGGGTTATTAGCACGCGAAAAATTACTGGCGGATGTGGCTCTACTTACGGGATAGTATGTCTGGTTTACTGCTCAGTAGGAATTTTTTCGTAGGCAGTTACTAATGTCGAAATAGAAATTAGCTCGTTTTTTCCCTTCCCTTTACTAGCGGTAGGCTGGTCGACAGCAGCGGACGCGATAGGAATTTTGAAATTTGCAGGCTTGGAATAATAAGGACCATTGTACTATCGGCATATATAAATAGGCAAGCGTATTTGTCCTCGGAATTACGTGACTTTGGACTAGTAGGCATGTCACGGTAGCCCCCCTGCCAGTTTGGCAGCCCAGTCACGGTACTACCGGGCTGCACCCGCCCATTTCCAAAAAAGAGCGGGAAAGATATGCTGCGTGTCGGATTTTGAAAATGTGCAGGTCGCGTATAACTGACTGGATTGCTGAGTCACGTAATAGGAGTAAAGGCTGCGATCCGCGCTGCACAAAGTAGCCCCATGGGAAATCAGAGTTGGAGAAAGGTGAAGCTCGACGGAGGAAAGTGAACGTTGGAAGAACTATCTGCGGAGAACAGCCGCTAGCCGTGCATAGTGCTTTGAACACGTGAACATACAGAAAATGCTGGTCTGAAGGGATAGTCGTCGGAGGCTTATGTGGAATGACTATCTGACGCCCGTTGAGGGGCCGACACATAACGGATTTTATTGAGACCGACACAACGTCTATGCGGCAGACCAGTCTTCGCTGTTGTAGCTCGTGGAAGTGCCCGTTGGGGAGGAGAGTACCGTGCTGGCTAGACTTACACTTGGTGTACAATATATAGGAGGGCAAGGCCGTATCGGCCCTCTATACTCAGAAGGATGGGAGGTTTGACGGTGGGCCGCAAGGCAGGGTTATGTGGAAAGCCCCCTGAGGATGATCGGAGCGCAACCGATTGAAACGCGTCGGGGATTGTGCGCGTGAGCTGAGATGTGTACACGCGGTTATGTTTTGAAGAGTTTTCGAGGCGTGTACGAAAGGCAGTTGGCCACTGTTTTCACTATTCACTATTGTCCAGTTGCTGTATGCTTTCTTCTTTTAGGGCCTCGTTAGACCCTCCTTGAAAATCCTCAGGAATGTCGAAAGTTATGGTTAACCGCGTCTTAAAAAACAAAAGTCCTTAAAAAAATGTGAAAACGCTCCCAAGAGATTTCCTTGGGTCCCTCGGAATCCCCAGCCATTGCGTCCTTGGATTCAAGGGGTCCTCGAGAGGTCCCTTGGGCTCAAGGATCCGCGATAGACGGGCCGTCGTTGAGCGTGCGTCGACACGGAAAGTTTCTGTTTTTGCTGGTGCACATGACGTTCGTGGTCCATCGGGCGGACAATATCGGCTTCCAACTGGCGGGAGGTCACCAACGACCTTGTGGAGTTACCGTTCGTGCGTACAGCCGGGGGTCCCGCTTCGGGTGCGACAGACGTCGGAGCGGTGGGGTTCTCCTTCTACGCTTCGTCGGGCGTCATGTCCAACGGTCAAATATTTCGAAATTTGTTTTATGTGCGGGGTGTGATGTTGTCGCCGGCCGGCCCGTTTGCTGCCATTCACTTGCGCGCGTGAGGGTTGTCCATTCGGTGGTCATCTACACGTGGTGCGCTTCATGGCAGACATCTTCCGGCGGCTACCGCTCCTGTTACTAGCAACTCTTCTGATGCTGCTTCTCGTCTTTTTGCACGCCTTCGTCGTGTCGCGGCCTCCTGGGCGTAGACAGAGACGACAAGTGGATAGGAAGACGACGATGGACAGACGGGACAGCTCCGTCGGATAGCAAAGACGTGTGATGGATTTCTCCATTCCTGATCGGCCCCTGTCGCCATCGACCCGCCGCATATGACCCGTCCTTGTACAGTCATCTTCCACCGCACGAGCAGCCGTTGCTGCCGGATCCGGAGGACGCCTGGGTTCAGGATCTGTTGCACACACTTCCTCTGGGGAGTGGATCTACGCAGTAGTGGACGAGCAGGCAGTGCCAGCAAAGGGAAGCAGGGACCACGCGCGAGTCGTTCACCGCATTGCTGGAGGAAGGTGTCGACAACGCCGCCACGAAGCTTGTGGACTTGGATTTCGGATTGTGCAGCGGGAGTGGTGCAAGTGGTCCGATCCACGACGGGGGGGGGGKGGGAGCGCCAACGTTCGGAGAAGGATCGTCCCGTGTCGGAGGGCCGACGAATGGTTGTTGTTCACCGGTCTCGAGTTCCATGGGCGTCGGGCCACTTGGCGAGTCGTCAAGGGCAGTGACACCCACCCGCCCCTAGGGGTCTTCGCCTGCAATGCGGCAGAGGGCGACCGCAAGTGCTGCAATCAATGATGGGACTCCACCGGAAGACATCGGGAGGTAGGCGTGGGAGAACTGCCGCCAACAGATGCGGCGTGCTGCCGCGGAGAACATAACCACCGTTGTGTCCAGGCTGCATGTGCGGAGCGACGTGGATGCGGACGACGGCCGTCGGGCGAGTGGGGACGAGTCTCCGGATTCCCGTTACGAAGACGACGCGAAAGACGGTGAGGGGCTGGAAATCCGACCCGTGGCTGCGCGTGGTGGGCGGAGGGGAGGACGCAGACGTCAGCAGAGGGGCGAGTCGCGTGGTGGTCGAGGATCGAAGGCTCCTGTGGGCGACAAGGGTGGCAAGCACCCAGCTTGGAGTGTTGAGGAGATGCTGAAGCTCGCTCGAGCGAAGCGGGATCAACAAGCTCATTTCGAGGGAATGCCGCACAACTACGACCGCATGCGCAACAGGGAGTGGAAGTTGTTGGACCTACAGAAGCGGCTGGCGGAGGTCGGAGTGAACAGGGCAACGGACGACATCGGGAAGAAGTGGGATAACGTCTTCCAGCAGTACAAGAAGGTGCAGCGTTACCAGAACATGTCCGGTGGGAAGAACTTCTTCACATTAACTTCTGCAACGAGAGCGGACGAGGGCTTCAACTTCCGAATGGATGAGCGAGTCTTTAATGAGATCGACAACATGTCGAAAAATAACAAGACCATCTACCCGGACAACGCGGCAGACACGAGCGCCCGCGGAGGAGTGCCACCAGCAATGGATGGTCACCGCCAGGCGGCCGTTGGTGGAGAGTCCTCTGCTGGTGGAGAGGGGGGTGATGGCGTCAACGAAGATGTGGGTTCAGCGTGGGAGTCGGGGTTCAGTGCAGGGAGCACGGGCACTCCACCAAAGAGGAAGAACATGCGGCAACAGACCTTCGACGCCATCTCCGAAGTCATGGACAAACACGGTGCATTGATGGTGGACACGGTAGAGGGTGCGAGCAAACGGCAGTGTAGCATCCTGGAGCGGCAGTGTGACATCCTGGACCGGGAGGTTGAAGCCCAGAAGCAGCAGTGTGACATACTAGAGAGGCATTACACGGCGTCCGATGAGGCGAACAGGATGATGTGCACGTCGTTGATGGAGATTGCCAGAGCGATAAGGGACAGATCTTGACGTCGGTGGCGTGAGTTTTGTTAAGCCGTTGTGGTGGATTCGCCCGCGAACTGGCCCATGGCGAAATGTGGTGTCGCTCCTCCGACAATGACAGAAATCCAGGAAACAAGGCGGGGGATGGAGTGCGCGATGGCCGTCTACCCTCGCACGCTTCGAAATGTTGAGTCGCTGGCCCTCCAGGGCAGGGCCGTCCATTCCCCGGACCACACTGACCCTTGGTATTTGGGGTGGTCTGCCCGCATGCGGAATGGGTGATCGTCGCTGCCGTTGTGTGGAGGGGTGTGTTGGAGGCCGTTTGTGTGGGATCCGCGCGCCGAGGGAGGGGAAATGTCACCGCGAGCAATATAAAGGTCCGCGCGAGCACTATCTTGTCCCTGTCTTTTGGTTCTCGACTGCACGCAAGGCCACGCGTGGGGTTTCCGTTGTTCTGCGTGGGGAGCTGAACATCGCCCGCGCAAGACGATCCCTGGCCACTTTCTCTCAAACGCTGTGGCAGTCTCCTTTCGTTCACGGGGCGTGCGCATCCGACCGTCAGCGAATGGCGCCACGTGGCCAGCAGAGGCCGAAACGTCCACACGGTGGTTCCGGCGAAGCAGGTGCAGGGCATACAGGAAGGGGCCACGTCCCAAAGTCGAAGAAGCTCCGCGCGGGAGACGGGTCGGAAGGCGAGATGGGGGTGACGGGGGAGAGGAGGTGACGCCTATGGACATCACTTTTGTAGGGATGCCTGCGCTCGGGTTCGGGCGAGACCGTGTGAGCAGGCAGCGTATGCTTGCGCTCACCAACCTTGGCGTCCTCACGTCCACGCGAGGTGGCGGTGGCGGGACGGCTCGTCCGCAAGGAGTTCTGTCCGGTGACATTCCGCCTCAGAGGGCCGTGGGTTCTCCATCTACCATCGCATCCGTGTCCGAGCGCGGCGATAAAGCTCCGGTCGGTGAGTCTCCATCGCGCCACGTGGAGGCGTCGAACCCGACGATCGTCGGCGCTTCGCCGAGGGCTGTGCTTCAATCCGCGCAAGCAGCGAGCGCTGCTGGCCATGCCGCCGCCCTCGGTACTGGAGAAAGGCGAGAAGATCGGAGGGTGGAAGAGGCGGGGAGAAAACAAGAGAGGAGGGAGGAGAATCTGCGTGGGGAAGAAGAGGACGACCAACCTCTGAGCGCGAGGAAGAAAAGGTCCCACCAGGAGGAGGAGTTGAAGGCGAAATCGAAACTGTGGGTAGACGGCAAAGCATTCTGGGCAACCGGCCCCGGACGGATGATCGTGGACGCAGTGCATTCCTGCGCGGACTACTTCTGCGCGATCGTCAATGGAGGTGCAGGCGCCAGCGCTCCGCAATGCCTCATGATGCTGCCCCCAGAAGTCCCGCACGTGCGGATCGAAGATGGCGCGCAACGAGAGTCAGCTCTCAGACGGGCGAGACGAACGGAGAACGTGGCAATGCACGTCATCCACGGGTGGATATTCAGGTCGTCTTCAAGGCCCGCGCAGAGTCCTACGTCGCCACAGATTACCCCACCGACCTGGCGAGAGCAGTTTGGCAGAGCTTGGAGTGGTCGAGGACAGTGCCGCCCACCGTAATTTACCACACGGTCGCTTTGAAAATGGACATCCCATTGTGGTTCGCCGGGGCGTATATCAAGAACAGGCCGGAGGACGATGACATGGCCACGCAGCAGGAGGCGATTGTGATGCATCTTGCGTCATGCTTCCACGACGCGCTCCGGGCCGAGCAGTGGTGGGACGGCGGTAGATTGTCACACCCGAGACTGAGCAGAATCGGGGATGCTTTCCGCCTGCTTCTCATCGCGTGCATGTGGATCATGCGCATGGGAGGCGACGATGCGCGCTCCTACGAGGAGGCGTCTTACTACGCGCAGCTGGTGGCGAAGCCGACTCTGGTGGCGGTGTGTTCATCGTCCTTCAACTGGCGCGGCCACATGATGCACTCGGCGAATGCGGTATGAAGTCGCCTGCGGAAACCACCGTTGACGCTGGGCGCTTTCCCTTACTACATCTCGGAGTGGGCTTCGTGCGGAGTGCGGTACAACTGCAACGCTGGTCTGGCGGACCTCGACGTCGCGGCGAGAATGGACTGGATGGGGACGGGACCTTTTGAAGGTGATCGGAAGGAGGACGGTACAGAAGACGAAACGGGAGCATAAATGTCCTCGATATGGCCGTCTTGCGTGACAAGGAAGAAGGTATCGCCCGTGGAGTGAAGCGGTCCGTCATTAAGGTTTCGACATGGCGTGAAATGGAAGTGCCGGATCGGCAGGGGGTGGATTGGACGGCGGGGGGGAGCGGGGGGGGGGGGGGGGGGGGGGGGGGGGGGGGGGGCGCTTGCATGGGGGTTCGGAGTCGGGGGATGATTGCGACGAGCGCAGATGGTTAGCATGCATTGACGCGTTTCTCCACGCCAGGGTCGCTTCATAGAGTGTGTTCCCGTTTCGCCACGCCGCACGCGCGCAGTGTGTCTCGTCTCCCGTCGACGCTTGGTAGCTGTTAACCGACCTCCGAGAGAGGTCGGCTTTGTAGGGTATTTGAAGGTGCATTGTGAAGTCAATGCGATGGTTGGTCTGCGCCAGGAATGACGAGTGGCGCCTTTTATTACTCTTTTTTGAAAACGACAGTCCGATTTCGATAGTGTTTTGCGAGTGTGTTCATTGGACGGAGTCTAGCAATGAAACGGTGTGTCCCGTTGGAATATGACGATGCGTTTCCTCAAATCTCTCTTTCTCGTGATTGGTGTGAATGTCGTTTTCTTCGTGCTGATTGGTCGATTGTTTGGAACGGTCGTTGGTTGGCAATGTGATGGCAAGTATGATCATGTGCGAGTGTGTTAATTGGACGGAGTCCAGCAATGGAACGGTGTGTCCCGTTGGAATATGACGATGCGTTTCCTCAAATCACACTTTCTCGTGTTTGGTGTGAATAACCTTTTCTTCGTGCTGATTGGTTGATTGTTTGGAACGGTCGTCGGTTGCCAATGTGATGACAAGTATGATCAGTGCACCTCAGTACAGACAGCTTTGCCGGCAAGTCGATGAACTGATCCAATGATCGGTTGATCGGTTGGCCGCCAGACTTGTCCAAGCTAGGGTGTGATCCTCCACGAAGTCGGGCATTGGTGGTGGACTGGGTTCCAGTGTGTTGATGAAAGCGCTCTTAAAACTGCGCAAAAAACGCATTCACGCTTCAGTTTTGCTGAGGAGGCAACAGATCAATGAAAGGCGCACACATCGCCCCTGAGATACAAACCGCAACACACAAAAATAAAATAAAATGAAAGACAATAAAACGAAAAAAAGCGAAAGAGAGAAAAAAGGCATTTGGATTGCAATCACATACACGAAACCACACCACCGTCACAGAGCACCGATAGCCGCACACATGCAGCCGGAACTTTGGTCTACAGTACAAATTTGAAAAAAGGAGAACAATTACGAGTCACCTCCAGACAGATTACCCCACCGACAGACACTGTCTTCTTCGAAATCGAAACACAACAAACCGCATCACTGGGCATTAACAACCTACTACAAAATGTTTAACAAAAAAAAAGGAAAAGAACTGCGGATGAACAGTGTTTCCGTCGACGGCTCCGTGACATTAGCGATCAATGACGACCCGCAGTGAACGTGCATAACACCCCAGGGCACGGCACACGCCTGCGACAGGGACAGAACACAGAACGCCTCCGTTGGACGATGACCCCAGCACGACCTCCAAAAGGACGGCAGAGCCACGCGCCGTCGACGCGGTGCGCGCCTTCACGCGTGTTTCATCCGCTCCGCCAATGCCTCGCGTAACGCCAACGCACGGGGCCGATTGAAGTTCTCAGCAATGGGGTGGGGTGGATGATCCAACCCCAAGTCCACTCGCCGGCACATGCCATTAGCATCCACCTCCCACAGCAAGTTCTCGTCGAACTCCATGCCAGCGTCAAGGAGGATGTTGTGCAGAATGCACACGGCCTGGAACTGTTGTGGGAGAGTGTCCATATTCGTCTTGTGTGTGCGGAGGAACAGCCTCCACATCCCTTTCAATCTCCTGAAAGCTTTCTCCACTGCTCCCCTGGCGACCTTTTGCTTGTTGTCGAACCTCTCCTCGTCGGGGACTTGATTGGTCCCCTCGTACGGCACGACAATCCACTCCAGTGGCGGATACCCGTTGTCGCCCAGAATGTAACTGTGTGTCTTCACTCCGAACAGCAGCACAACAGCAGGCCCACGGAAAAGATCCCCCTCCTCCGCACGCGACCACAGACTGGAGAGCTGAAGCACCTGAATGTCATGGCAGCTCCCCGGGTAACCGACGAAAACGTCTGTGATGCGCAAGTCGAGGTCCACCACCACCTGCGCTACAATGTAGAAACGATGCTTGCAGTCGAACTAGTTCTCGGAAGGAGCGCTCGCCGGTTTGTCGACGTAAACGTGCGTGCAGTCTATGCAGCCATAGCAGTTGGGAAAGCCCTTCGCCTCAAAGGCGCGCAAAACTAGCACACGACGCCTCCCAGCAGGCCAGACGATCTTGTCACGGTACACATTGAGGAGTGCCCTTGTAATGTCCTCCACTGCGATCAACCCGGAAGCGCGCCCTATTCCGAATGCGGAAGTGCTGCTCTCGTACGTCTCCCCGCTTGCCCATCGGTACAACGCATATGCGATGATGTGATCCGGCTGCAAAGGGACCCTGTAGAACGTCACCCGCCGCTGCAGAAGAGGAGACAATGCCTCCACGATCTCCGTGAACACCCTGGGGGACATCCTCAACTTTTCCTTGAAGTATTCGGTCGACGCGTGGTCTGTCTTCCGCAGATCCTCCCACGTGCCACCTGTCCTTCTTCTCATCCACCACCTGGGAGTCGCCCGTGGTATCACCCCGGATGACATGGCGGCGCATAACTGAAAAATGGATTCGGACATGGAGACGCAGTCTGGCGCCTCCATCACGTGCTGGATGAGCTCACGCTGCTTGCGAATAGACACTCTCGTCCTCAAGCGCACCGTCATTCTCTCGATGCGACATCGCATGGCCACCGCCGACACTGCTGCAACTACCGCATTTCTCTCCACCCTGCTCAAGGTGTTGGCGCGAACCGCGTGCGACGCATGGTCCATCACGAAGCCCCGACGTCGCCTTTGCGAAGACGCACTCGAAACGGACGGCGGGACCCTTTTTCCACACGGACGTCAGCGGCGCTCTCAGGACGGCACCTCCTCGTGCACGAACGACGGGCGATCTCAGGTAGCCACCGGTTCGTCGTCGTCTGCGGGAGGAGGAAACTGGGACCCGCAGCACTTCACGCGCTCCAACGTCGTCACCTTTCGCGCCGCGCCGGCTGACGCTCGGATGAACGAGTTGCCAACAGCGACGGGCGCCGCCAATCGTCCGCGCAGACGTTTCGCACTGTGGTACCTCCAGGGGTGATCTCCCCACGTCGCGCGCCGTGGGAATGAGCGAAGGGTTTGAAATTCGAATTTCGAAAACGAACCTCCGCGCCTCTTTTCGCAGCTCAGCATTCGTAGGCTCCTTGCGCCGCCAGTGGACCACGCCTGAGGACGGACGGACATCCCACCGCGAAGACGGACATCCTACCCCGCGACCTCGTATATGCGTATGAAATTGGCCGCTGGAAACCTCCAACGTTTTTCCTTGGGACCCTTTCGTTTAGGACGCGGTGTAACAACGCCGCCGAGTTCCTTGAAATTTTCCAAGGACTTCATCCTAATTCCTGAGGATTTTTCAAGGAGGGTCTAACGAGGCCCTTACTTGGATTGATTGGAAAGGTGGGGGGATGCTGGACCCGGTTTCCAGCACCAGCTGACGCTGAGGTTTGATCAACTTTCCGCGGGTAGAGATGTGGAGGGATTCCTGGCTTTTTTTTTTTTTTTTTTTTTTTAGGTAAACAGGGCCTTGGTCCTGGCTCCTTTCCATTCTGGGGAGCAACAGTCCGGTTCCTATTCCACCAGCAAGTCACCATGGGTACTCACACACGCTCCTCCCCCTTACGGTACA